GCACGGACGTGATGATCACCGCCCCTATCTTGGCCGAGAAGGAGGTCGTCGCTGGAAGATGTTTGTTTGCGCATATTCACTGGGGTGTGCCTGGCGGCTTCACAGCTGGCAGCATTTACCTCGACACGAAGGATGGCGTGGGCCCAGTCAACACGGCCTACCTGTGGGAGACGGTCAAGGCACTCTCGAGGTTCAACAGCGAGGGGGTGGACTGGCTCATCGGTGGGGACTGGAATAACCAGCCAGCTGAGCTTTTCTCGTCCAGCTGGGCTACGGCAGCCTCGGCCATTCCCTTCTGCCCAAAGTTGCCGACGTGCAGGCAGGCCCAACCTGGGACTATACTTGACTACTTTTTGGTTTCTGCAAACTTGGCAGCACGAGTAGACTCCCATGTTCGGGTGGATGAAGGGGCGACCTTATACCCTCATTGTCCAGTACATCTGCAAGTGCTTGGACAGGACTACCCGCTATGGAGGCTCGTGCCGAATTTGCCCAAGGAGCTACCACTACAGGCCCCTACTGGATGCTCGAGGTTCCCTTACCATTGGGATGCTACCAGCTTCGAGGTGGCCGACGATGCTGAAGGGCTTGCAGCTTGTATGGACGACTTGATGATTGGTGTCGAAAGGGAGCTCACCAACCGCTACGACCATGTGGGGCCTGCTGCGCTGCGCTATTCAGGCCGAGCGGGGGCGACCTCCTTCACGTGGCGGAAGGTTGCCTGGCAGCCACCCCTCAGGCGCACCTACAAGCGCCCTCAGACCTTGGCCTGGAAGGTGGTACTTCGATGGTTTATGCACATTCAGAAGGAGCGTGACAGACTTCGTACGCTGGTCACCAGGCTTCAGATGGCCCACGTGCTTTGCGATATTGACCCGCCCCAGTGCGCAGTCCTACTTCAGGCTCTCAGTGAAGTTGGCGGGTTTCTTCGTAACATTATGCGCAGCCATGTGGTGCTCCACCAGATGCCTGAGAACGTGCAGGCCTTCTTGAACTCTGGGCTGCAGGTTTTGGTCGCACCTGGCTTCGAGGACCTTCTGCGCTCGGTCGGGAACGAGGCCACTCGGCTGCGCAAGGAGGACCAGCGTGAATCCTACCGAGCTTGGATGCAGTTCCAGCGTAAGGCCTTTCAGTCAGGGGCCTCCATTGCTCACCGCGTCACCAAGGTGCGGCCGCTGGAGCAGGTTGTCGCATATCAACGACGGCCTGCAGATGCTCAGCCTCAGGCTCTGGCGAATCGGGACATGAGGACTTGGGTTGATGTCTGGACCCATCATGGCTGCCTGCCAGTCCAGCCTCCTCTTGAGGCCGCAGAGTGGCCAGCTCTGCCGAAGCTCGACGCCGCCACCTTGAGGAAGGTGATATTGACATTCCCTAGAAAGACCTCGACGGGGCCCTGTGCATTACACCCACGCTTGCTGTGGCACCTGTCAGATGAGTCGCTCGAGATGCTGGGCAGTTTCTTTGCAAGGTGCGAGCAGTTACTCGCATGGCCTGCAGATCGGCTCTGGTCGATGATGTGTCGTATTCCCAAGGCTGATGAGGGACATCGCCTGGTTGCGGTGGCCCACACTTTCCAGCGCATTTGGGGCAGGGCTCGACGTGGCATCTCTCGGCAGTGGGGGCAGCAGCATCGCGCGGACAACGTGTGGGGCAACAGGTCCCGCTACACCTCGTCGGACAGCGCTTTCAGCCACAATTTGGACTCGGAGGTGGCTGTGCTGAGGGGCCAGTTCAGTGCGACGGTCCTACTGGATCTCACGAAGGCCTTCGACATGGTGCGGCCGTCGCAGCTGTTTCGCGAGGGCTGGTTGCTTGGCTACCCGCCGAGGATGCTGTACATGTTGCTCAAGATGTACGCCCAGCCGAGGAGCCTCAAGGGGTACGGCACTTTCTCCGACATGGTGCAGGTGGACCAAGGCATTCTAGCTGGATGCACGCATGCCGTCTGTATGCTTGAATGCCTCACGTTACGTGCCATCCTACGCTTGCGCGACACCTACGCTGGAGTTGTGCCACGGGCTCTTGTTGATGATGTGTCGGTTCAGTACGCTGGGCCTGATCCAAAGGGCCTACTTGCACTTGATTTGGCTGTGCGAATATTTCAGGAGGACTCGAGAGTGCTTGGTTCTTCCTTTAATGACAAGAAGTCGGGGCTGGTTGCTGCGACGGCTGCTTCTCGTCAGATCTTGCGAGGCTCTAAGTTTGCACATCGGCCGTGGATGCGTAACCTCGGCCACGAGACCTTCGGCATTCGCCCTATTCGGTTGCGAGAGAAGGCCCGCCTTCGTGATCTTCAGAAGCGACGGCATCGTCTCCATCTTTTTCGCCAAGTTGCTGGTCGTAAGAACTCAGTGGTCTGGCGGGCAGGAGCACAACCTGCTGTGGCCCATGGTGCGGGCGTTTCGGGCATGACCGACTCAGCTCTTGTCACGGCCAGGTCAGTTGCTGCTACCATGGTGGGGGCACCGCCGAGAGCGCACAAGACGGCCTACTTGCACTGTCAGTGGCAGGTGCGCTACGATCCGATCTTTGACGCGACGACGGCGCTGCTGTGTCGGTTGCGTTGCTTTCTCTGGGATGCTCGTGTGCCTCTCAGTGCGCTTCGACATGCATGGTTGAGTTTGGCAGATCGTGTTAACGACAAAGGACTCACCTGGGCGGCGGTTCGCGGCCCACTGAGTGCTGCCTGGCTCACACTTAACAGAATTGGCTGGACATTTCTTGGACCTCATCACTGGCATAGGGACCAAGGTGAGGACTTTGATCTTCTGCGAGTGGCACCAGCCGACATGAAGGTATTTCTTGAAGAATCGATCAAGCGGTGGCAGGTGCAGCGACTGGCTTATCACTTGCTTGTGCAGGAGGCTTCTCACGATATCTGGGAACGAGCTCTTCGACTTGGGCTTCGTGACTTGAGGCAGGCGCCGCTTGGAGCGCTGAGGGCACTGTGGGCTGGTCGGTACCCCACTGCTGCCCGCCTTGCTGCCTGGGGAAAAGATGTGAAGGTGCACTGTGCAGCTTGTCAGTCAGATGATGGATCTTTCGGGCATGTTTGGCATGGATGTCCCAGCTTGTTGCAGCCCGATGAGAGCGAGGAGGCTTCTGGTGTTGCGGTTTTGTGTGAGCGGCACGCGTCTCATCGGGATGCTCTGCGAGCTCTTGGACACCGCCCCCCGCTCGATCCTGAGTTTGACAGTCTCTATTTTAGTTATGGTTTTCCGAGGCTCTCGATCCAGCTTCCATCCCCGCCTGAATCGTCGGTGGTCTGGGAGTGGGGTGACGTTGGGGGTGAGTGGGGGCATGTTACTTTTGGGGATGGAAGCGCACAGCACCCCGCCGTGCCTGAAGTTAGGCGCGCGGGGTGGGCCGTAGTTCAGCTCAACGATGCGCCCCTCCCTGTCCGTGCGGTTTTTGGATCCCTGGAGGGTGCTGTCCAGACCGTGGGCAGAGCGGAGAGAACTGCGCTTCTGCACGCCATGAGGCGTAATCCCAGCTTGGAGGTTTTCGTTTCAGATTTGCTTTCTCTGGTTCAGGAAGGTTTGTCTTGGGACCCCGAATTGGCGTGCGGAGTGAATAGGTACGCTGCCATTTGGAGGAGTGTCTTTGAGTTGGCGCAGCGTCGGCCTGCCCAGGACCCTCCCCCTCACTTCGTCTGGGCCCCCGCTGACCTCTCTCTTGGGGAAGTCCTGGAGCGAAAGCTGGACCCGATAACCTGGATCGGGAATGCTTGGGCCGACCTGTTTGCCAAGCTTGCTTCGACGCGGGCCATGATGGCTAGGACGACGGCCGAGGCTGTCGCAGGCGAGCTCAAGTTTCATCGTGCTACCATCGATTATATTTCCTGGGCTGCTGCCAGGCTCGCTCGACTCCGAGGTTGGACCAGTCTGCCCCCGCCGTCGAGTGTCTTTCGACCCCAGCCTGGGCCGCAGCTCAGCTTGCATGGCCATTCTTTCTTCCTCGACCCTGATTCAGGGGAGGTGAGATGTCTCTCGTGTTTTGTCGGGGCCTGGACCTGCAGCACCTTGGCGCATCTGTGTAACGGCCCCTCCAAGTTTTGCCGACCCTCGGCCATTTCAGCCCTTAAAGGGCAAGAGTGGTTGCGTGTTCGAAACCGAGCGCGGCCTGTGAAGGCCGCGGCGGTGGCCGAAGCGGACCAGGCCCTTGAAGCTGTGGGTTTGCTGCCACCTCCTCCCCCTCCTGGAAACCCCTCGGGAAACGAGAGTGAGGCGGCCATCCGTGATTTAAAGTCGAGAGGTCACACGATTGAGAAGTATGATCGTGTGATGATTTGCTCTATCTGTGCAGGCTTTGTTGTGCTCCCGCATGGTGTCCCTCGTGCTCTGATGGCCACTTGTCAGGGTGCCTCCAGGGTCCCTTCGACCAGGGACAAGCAGCTGCGGAAGCTTTCCAAGGCCTCGAGAGGCCTGCACCCTTCGACGGGCGAGGTCCTCTCCCGTGCCCAGGGCCCCTCTCCCTCCTCGCCTATGTCCTCCCCTCAGGCGTCTTCCTCCACGTTATCCATGGTGGCCAGAGCCCTCCGGCTTGAGGAGGCTGCCACTTCCGATGGTGGGGGGGCGGGGCGGGTGGAGCGGGCGGGCGGGTTTTCGGACGATTCTGATTAACCTGTTTTGTTTTTCCTTCGGCCTCGGCGTCGTCGTCGGTCGTCCGTCGGCCGTCGTCGCCGCCGTCGCCGCCGTGCTGCTGCCGCTGGCGGCCGCACCCTGCACGTGAAGAGCGGCGAGAGCGTGCCAGGCGCGCCCTGCTGCTTTCCGCGTTCTCTCCTTTGCCTAGCCTGATGGCGTTCGTTACCCTGCGGACGCTCTCCAGTCGGCGCCCACCTCCTCCTCCTCCTCCTCCTCCTCCTCCTCCTCCTCCTCCTCCTCCTCCTCCTCCTCCTCCTCCTCCCCCTCCTCCCCCTCCTCCTCCTCCGCGTCCGCGTCCTCCTGGGCCCTGCCGTCGGGCCTCCTGGTTTGGCCCAGCCCGCCGCGCGCGCGCAGGTGACCAACCCCTCGCTCGTCGCCCTCTTCGCTTTGCAGGCGGGGCCCTCTCGCTGTGCCGTGCCGGGGGCTGGCCCTGCGCCTCTTCCCTTTGCGGAGGTCCTGCTCTCGGCCCTGCGGGGCACGGTCGGCGATGTAGAAGACCGAGGTCGTTTCGGTCGACGGCGAACGAGGGGGGAGGAGGAGGAGGAGGAGGAGGACGAGGAGGAGGCGGACGAGGAGGAGGAGGAGGAGGAGGAGGAGGAGGAGGAGGAGGAGCAGGCAGGAGCAGGAGCAGGAGAAGCAGGAGGAGCAGGAGGAACAGTAGGAGGAGGAGGAGGAGGAGGGGGAGGGAGGAGGACGAGCAGAAGGAAAAGGAGGAGGAGGAGGAGGAGGAGGAGGAGGAGGAGGAGGGGAAGGGGAGGAAAAGGAGGAGGAGAAGGAGGAGGAGAGGAGGAGGGGGGAAGGGGGAGGAACAGGAGGAGGAGGAGGAGAATCTGGAGGAGGAGGAGGAGGAAAAAGATGAGGAGGAGGCGGAGGAGGAGGAGGAGGAGGAGGAGGAGGAGGAGGAGGAGAGGGAGGAGAGGGAGGAGAGGGAGGAGGTGAAGAGGACGAGGCCTTTTCAGTAGGTGGCGGGGTTTTTCAGCAGCCCTCTTCGCCCCGCACGGGCCGTCTCGCGGGGCCCGAGCGGTGGCCGTGCGCCTCGTCCCCCCCTCGGAGGCCCTGCTCTCCGCCCTGTGGGGCACGGTTGGACCGAGGTACCAGATCGAGGTCGTTTCGGGGAGGGTACAGTGGGGGCGCGCAGCAAGAAACCATATGCTCTTCGCCAGGGTACCCAGGGTTTCTTCGCTCCGCGCGCTGCGCGGTAGTTTCCCGCAGCTGATGAAGAAGCTGCTGCGTTCAGGATGCTCTGGGTTTCCCCCCAGGTGCACCCCGCGCGCGGGTTTTCATGGTTGGGTTTCGTTCGAGGGTTTCTTGCGGACGCGCCCGCCGAGTACCCTTATTTTTTTCGCGGGTGCTGTGTGAGACGTTGTTGTGCCTCTTGGGGGAAGGCACCTTCGGGTGTTCTGTGCTTGTTTGGGCCGGCGGAGGATCTCGTGCTCTTGAAGCATGCTCTTCCGTCCTGGGTCCGATTGAGCCCCCATGCTCGAGCGAGCCGGGCCCTGTGCACATCACCCGCGCCCCCTGCACAGACTACAAGCCTGGACCCAGGAGAGGAGCGCAGTGGAGGCCCATGCCAAGAGACACCCTGCTTCTCTCCAGGGTGCCCTGGGTTTCCTGGGTTTCGAGGCTTTTGCCACGGCAAGCGTGACGTTCCCACACCAAACATCCATGGACGTGCTGGGGTCTCAGGGCTGGGCTTCTCGTGGAAGCCTTCCTGTGGGCTGGCCTCGACTGCGCAGTCCTGGACCCGGGAGAGCAGTGTGCCAAGTGCCTGCTGGAATCGCCCGGGAGGCGCATGCGCCGCCCCCGGGTCCAGCATGGGCCTTTGCCTTGTCGGGCACGTCCCTCTACAGGAGGAATCTTCGAACAGTCGAACTACGCTCTGGGAATGATTCTTCGAGCATTTGTTCGGCGATTGTTGATAATCGTTTGACTATTCTTTGTGCTGTTGTCCAAGATCCGCCCGTAGGGGGACATGCCCGACCTAACCCTTGCCCAGGGGGGGTGTAATTATGCGCGCAGATCTCGTCGCCCTGTGTCTGCCCCCTGCCCGGGCCCCCCTCCCTGCAAGGCGCCCCAGGCGGCGCCTCCGAGGGGCTGTCCAAGGCCTCCACCACTCCCACTCCGAAGTTCCGCCGTCTGGCAGCTCCCCCCTGCCCCGCCCCCCTTCCCGCCCCTGCCCGTCTTCTCGTCCTCTCGTCCTCTCGTCCATTCGTCCTCCTTGTCGTCTTCGTCCTCCTTGTCGTCTTCGTCGTCGTCGTCGTCGTCGTCGTCGTCGTCGTCGTCGTCGTCGTCGTCTTCTGCATCCTCCCTCCCCCTCAGGATTCAGGGCGGTGGGCAGTGCCGAGTCGAGCTCCGATGCCGTCCTCCTCTTCCTCCCCTCCTCTGCCTCCTCCTCCTCCTCGTGTTCACACACATCTGCTACGCCCCCCCCCCGTCCCCTTCCTCGCTCTTGCCCCCTCGGCTCACCCCCGCCCGCTCGGCCAGGGCGGCGGTTGGCCGGCGCACCTGTGGGGCCCCGCCCGCGCTGGCTATAGCCGCGCGAGGTCTGGGGCTGCGGCGCCGCGGGCCGCCCGTGGCGGAACATCGCTTGCCCCTGGCGCTCACGCGCCCGATCCACAGGATCGGGGGGATCATCTCGAGGGTCGACGGTCGAGGGAGGGAGATCGAGAATCATCACTGATGCATCATATTCCAGGCCTCCCAGAGGTGGTCGGAGTAGGTGGGGTCGAAGGATCGCGCCGCATCGCCGATGCATCGACGATGCGTCTCGATGTGGAGCCCGATGTGCTCCACGCCGATGGTGCCGATGCCTCGCTGACGCCGCCGATGGCGATGCGGCGCGATCCTCCGATCCCATCTACTCCGACCCCATCTAGGAGGCCTCTATATAGATGTGTTTCGATATTGCCCTATCCGCCACTTCTCCTCTTGCCTTCGCGCCGTGTTGCCGCAGTGTCTCATGAACTCCCTCCGGATCCGCCTGCGGAGCGAGGTGCTTCCATGAGCTCCTCGACCAGACTTGACTCGACTTGGCTTGACGGTCGCGAGTCGAGGCTTGCGGGCGATTCAGCGGTCCTCGCCGGCTCTCCACCCTCGGGGTGCCTGCCAGCGGCGTCTGCGGCTCGCCGAGGGCGTGCCCGGGGGTGCCCAGGGCGTCCCGAACCGCCGCCAGAGAGCGGAGTCATGGCCCGAAAGCCGCGACACCACCACCACCACCACCACCACCACCACCACCACCACCACCACCACCACCACCACCAGGGGGGCCACCTGCAGCAAGGGGGTCCACGATGCCTCCCCAAGCCGGGGATTGGGGATGCCTCGAGCGAGAGGGGGGGAAGCACGCCACCAGGACGACCCCTCCCTTGCGCCTCGCGCTGGCGGCAGTGGTGGTGATGGTGGTGCCGTCGCTCGTTGTCCGTGCAGGAGCTGGTTGGGGATCAAGGTTCGCAGCTCGCTAGAGCAGCGCCGCGCAGCAGCGCGCAGCAGGGCACAGTGGCGCACCACGGGGCGCAGTGGCGCACCACGCATCGGGGCCCGAGGAGGTCGCGCGAGGGGCAAGCTGCTGGCTGCCGTCTCGTCGGAGGGCGCGGGTGGGAAAAGAGGAGGAGGAGGAGGAGGAGGAGGAGGAGGAGGAGGAGGAGGAGGGAAGAGGAGGAGGAGGAGGAGCAGGAGGAGGAGGGAGGAGGAGGAGGAGAAGCAGCAGCCGCATGAGGAGCAGGAGGAGGAGGAGGAGGAGGAGGTCGTCCCTGAGGGCGCAGCGGACGTGTGCGCAGAGCCGCACGGGGTGCCGCCGTATCCCTCCCTGCACCTGTCGACACTGGGACTCCTTTCACCCTTGAATCCCATTGGGATGGAGTCCAAAGCTGAAGGTGCTTTCGTTGGGGGTACACCAGTTGGGGATACACCCCTCGAAACCCGAAGGGAACGACCTCTACCCCATCTAGGGGGGGTAGGTCGGGCAGTGGGGCCCAGGCCACGCTGCTGGGGATGGGGATCGGTTAACCGAGGCTCAACACTTCCTCGTCGGGTGCGGTGTCGCTCTCACTCTCTCTCTCTCTCTCTCTTTCTCTCTCATCCCCTTTCGTGGCACGCGGCGGAGTCGTGGCGCGCCACGCCTAGAGCCTGCACCCCCCCGAATGTAGGATGTTTTCCAGTATCGAGGCGAGAGGCACGGTGCCTGCGACGCACGCCACTGGAGGCAACTCACGCGCCAACGTGCGCTACGCTCGGGTGCGCGCTGCGTTGACCCAGGCATGCGACGTCTTTTCTTTCAATGCGGGGTCCCTGGAAGTCCCGACCCTGTCCCCGGGACCAGTCTTTCATCCCGAGTCGATTTTTGGCGGTCCCGAGGCCCAGCGAGGACCCCCCGAGGCCGAAAATGGCCAAAACCCTCCAGTCCTGATTCTTTTTGTGCGACGCCATCATGTTTGGGGATGTTTCCTCTCGTCATGCCCCGCTGTCCACCTGCTGCCAGCCACGCGCCTGGTTTTTGCAGACCTGGAGAGCCCTCTCTCCATTGGCGACCCCTGCCCTGGCTGTCCTCGAGGCGCAGCGGCGAGAGGCCGACCGCCGCGGGGCGCCGGCGACGCCGACGGCGACAGCTAAACGAGAGCCCCGCGGTCTTCCTCGATTGTCCTTTTTCCCTGATCCAAGACCCCATCGGGCAGTCAAAAATTCATGAGGGGAGGTTGTTCGTAGTCTCGGCCTCGGGAGGCCCTTGCAGGCCCTCGTGACCCTCAAAAAACGGCTCGGGACGAGAGACCCGTCCTGGGGAGTGGGTCGAGACCCCTGAGGGTCGACGTTATGACACAAATCTCACGTCGGGGGTCGGGGGCTCTCGATCCTCGACCATCCTCGATCCTCTATCCGGCCTGCCAGCGCAGCCCGCAGCTGCTGGCGCTTCTCCTCGCCGACTGCGGCCGTGGACGTGGAGGCGGGGCCGGCGCGAGCGAGCGAGCTCCGCTGGCCTGCCGGGCGCGCCCGCAGATCATCGCGACGATGATTCCGGCGGTCTGCCTCTTCTTCGCGGAGTACACCACCATCACCACCGTGGAGTCGCCCTCCCCAGACCCCCTCGGGTAAGGAGAAGATCGCGAGGGGAGGCGTTTTCCACATGTGCGGCCTCTGGAGGCCCTCACCGGGCCTCGAGGCCGTCAGCAAAACGACTCAGGATGAAAGACCGGTCTAGGGGAATGGGTCGAGACCTCTGAGGGTCGACGTTATGAGAAAATCATGACGTCGGAGGTCTGGGTCCTGAGAGTTCAGAGGAGGAAAAGGTACCCATACCGCTGCCTTGCCCTCGTTTTCCTTTTTTGGGGGGCCTCCAGGGAGGCCCTCGTCGCCACCGCTGCAGTCGCCTTGGAATTTTGGTCAGAACGCACCTCGGGAGTGGTCCGGGGAGTAGCGGTATCGGTTTTCCCGGTTCGCCATGGGGGAAGCGGGTCATGAGGGAACGGGTCCAGAGGGCTTTCGCCGTTTTCTCGGGCTCTGGGGGCTCTCCACGGGCCCCAGGGCTGTCAGAATGCGATTCGGGATGAAGTTTTCGTCCTGGGGGAAGGCACCAGGGGTCCAGGTTACCTGTCTCCTTCAGGACGCGCTTCTCCCGTGCCAGCACGAGACTCGAGGAACATGAAGGTGCATAAGGCGTAAATGTGTAATTCCTCTGAGCTCCGCGCTCCGCGCGCCTGGGAGAGGGGGTCCACAGCACCGATCCAACAAATCCGCGCGGACCTAGATATGTGTGTGCCGTTGCTTGTTCCTTTTCGGAGCACGAGGTCGGCGTCACCCCAATATTCTAGTACTATGTGTGCGTCGCCCCCCGCCACCCCAGGGGGCGACGCGCGCACCGAGAAGTCTTACAGTATCTGCGCCGTGGCGGGCGTTTTCTGGCCACACCGCTCGGGAAACGAAGTACTACAAGATGGTTATACTCATTTGTTCGGGTCGGACGCGCGCCTCCAAGAACAACACATAGTACGAGGGTGTCTCTGTGCTCTGTGCGTCTCGTAATAGGACGAGGGAGCGCCGATCCAAGAAATCCGCGCGGACCTCAGAGATATGGTTGTGCCGTTGTTTTTCCTCTAGAAGCATGACGGGAGGAGGAGGGAGGAAGAGGAGGAGGACCAGGTCGGAGGATCAGGAGGAGGAGGAATATGGGTATATGTTTGGACCCCCAGGATAGGAAGGAGAGGTGGTCGGAGGAGCAGGAGAGGAGGTCGAAGGAGGAGGAAGAGGAGGAGGAGGAGGAGGAGGAGGAGAAGGGAGGAGGAGAAGGGAGGAGGAGGAGGCGGGGAAGAGAGGAGGTCCGAGGAGGAGGAGGAGGAGGACCAGAGTTGACCCACGTTGATCAACTATGCTACAACACACCCTCCCGGTCGCAAGACCCATCCCCGGAGGTCCCCACAGCATCCTGTAAGCCGATCTGGGTTGACGGCGTCCATGGCGCCTGCGCTTCCCGAGCCGTGCCCGCTCTGACGACGAGGGCTGCTGCTGCCCTCCCTCGCGAGGACATTCCCCTCGGGCGCCCCGCCAGAAGCGAGGCCCAGCCTTAAGTCGGGCCTGTCCCTCTACAGGGGAAATATTCGGAAACAGTAACAAAAATAGCCTGGGGACGAATTTTTCTACCATTTTCGAGCACTTTGGGAGCATTTCTGGACTTTTTTTTTGTTTTTTCTCCATTTGTCGTCCAAAATTCAATTGTATGGGGGACAGGCCCGACCTAAGCCCAGCGCCCGCTGAGCACGCTGAGTGTCCAACCGTCCCCGCGTGCCTGCGCAGACGCCCAGGCCTGGGGGGCCAGGGGCAAGCGGTGGCGAAGCGTCCTGGCTCGCCTGTAGGCCCACCGCAGAATTCGACTAGACGTAAGAGTGACCTTTCGCCAGAGTGACCTTTGGTGCGGGCACAGAGATGGGCCCTCAGATGGTTGAAAACGAAGCGGTAGCAGCGGCTTGCTCGCCCAGGGTCACTCTTGCGCGTAGCCGAAGAATGTTCCAAGAACCTTCTTTGGTCTGCACTGCAAGAAAAGTTCCCAGAGCATTTCTGGGCGGCGCTGTCTTGTCTGAGCACCTCGGGTGCATGTTCTAAGAGCCCTGTTTTTGTCATGGGAGCACTGTGGGGTTCCAAGAACACTCCCTGGTAGACATACAGGAATGCCGGGCCGGTCGGCCCCTGCTCCAAAGAGGGGCGCCGGCGTCGCAGGACGTCCGAGGGCACCCGGCGGTTGTTCCGCAGGTGGGGCCCCGCGGCCAACGGAGGCGCCAGCGGCTGCGCCAGCCGAGGGCACGCCCTCGGGGCTCGATTCAGGAACGATAGCGGAGGGAGAGGAGGAGGAGGAGGAGGAGGAGGAGGAGGAGGAGGAAGAGGAGGAGGAGTAGGGAGGAGGAGGACCTCCTCATCTTCCCTCCTTCCCCGCCCTACTAGAAGAATTGCAGTCAACCTGCATGGTAAGGATAATCAATCTTCCCAAGGGGACCCTTGCATCCTTGCCCCTTCGGCCCAAGCTCAGCGACGTTGGCTGGCCAACCTCGTCCAGAAAACGTCAACAGGGGCCTCCAAGGCCCTTGCATCCTTACCGCGAATCCTTCCGATGCGGATGTACCCATCGGTCGTTGAAAGCAGGTACTTTTGCATTCCCAGATTCCAATCTACTTTCATACATGGCGAGGCTCCCGGCGACCCGGGCGGTGAGGGGGCCCAGGGCGCCTCCCGCGGCGAGAGGAGAGGTGCGGAGGGAAGACGAGGGCACGGTCGGTTGGAGGAAGGGGGCATTTGGAAACAAGTCGCGTCTCCTCCCCCTCCGCCTCGTCTTGCTTCGCGCACACCTCACCGTCCCTCGTCTCTCCTCCGCCTCCTTCTCCCCCTCGTCCCACGTATTCTGTCTCGTCGTCCCCTTCCCTCTCTCCTCCTTCTCGTCCTCCCTCCTGCCCGTGTCCATCCCAACAACCAGCGCTCCTCGTCGCTCCTCCTGCTCCATTTCTCCTACTCCTTTCCTGTCCTCATCCTCCCTCCTCCTCTTCCCCTCATCCCCTTCCCTCCTCCCCCTACCTCTTTCCCTCCTCCTCGTCCGTCTTCCCCTTCCCTTCTTTCTTCCTCCTCCTCCTCGTCCGCCTTCCCTCCCCCCTCCTCCCCCTCCCCTTCCCCCCTCCCCCTCTTCCTCCTCCTCCTCCTCCTCCTCCTCTTCCTCCTCCTCCTTCTCCTCCTCCCTCGGCCTCAGCAAACATCGGGGTCCTCGTGGCGCCAGCGCTCCAGTCGGCGCTGTTCGGCATCTCCGTGGCCGAATCCTCCCCTGTTCCCTCCCCCTCCCCTTTGGCGAACCGGACCTAGGCGAAGCGATCCCCCAGCGAGGCGATCCCCAGGCGAAGCGATCCTTGAGCGAGGCGACTTCCAAGCGGGGTGAACCCCGAGTGAGGCGAAGCCCCAGCCAGGCGAACCCCGGGCGAACCCAGGCGAAACGAATTTATGACGCTCTCCTTCCGGGTTTCCCTCGCCCTGCCAGGATATCTGACGTCGCGCGTGTTTTTTTCAGTTGTTTCACCATGTGTTCTTCCCTGGAGGGTCTGGACTCCGTCCCTAGGACTGGCGGTTCACCCCGAGTCGTTTCGACGGCCCCGGGGCCCGTCAGGGGCCCTCACAGGCATACCATGTCCAAGTTTTTTAGGTCGTGACTTTTTCACAACGGGACGATGTCAGGTTTCCTGGTCCCATGGCCTTCACTCTATGAGAAACATGCTGGGGGCCTCGCGCGGCGCGGCGCGCAATGGTTGTATTATGTAGTACGCCCGCCCGCCACGTCGGATATGCGGCATGCGACGACGCTCGCGCGGCGATGGTCCGACACAAGTCCGGCGTAAATCCGACGTGGATTTGACGTACATCCGACACAATCCGGCTTGAACCCGACGTAAGTCGGACGTGGATCCGACGTAATTTGGGTCTCAATTTGCCGCGCGAGGCCTCCCGATCGAGAAAACGATCACGCCTATACGGATGCTCGCGTGTTCTGTGCGCCGAGCGCAGGCCATGGTGCTGCGCAGAAGCATCGGGTGAAGGTCGTTCGCATGTACCGTCTTCGGCATACAGACCCTACCCTCCCTGCCTCTGCTGGAGTTTTCTCCCCAGACATGCGACAGCCTGATTTTTGTTTTCAGGACGGCGCCCCCAGAAGTCCAGACCCCTTCCCCGGGGCAGGCGTCTCCTCCCGAGTCGCCGTTCGACGCTCCCGGGGGCCAGGCGAGGGCCCCGAGGGGGGCGGAAAATTGTGAAAAGGTTGCCGACCCGAGGTGCTTTTTTTACGACGCGATCATGCCTGGGTCGTCCCCCGCTCGCCAGGAGGAGGGCATCACGGTCCAGGCGTTCGCCATCGTCGCAAACCAGCTAGGGCGGGCCTCGGGCGAGGCGGCGGGGACGCGCCGCGGGTGGCGCAGTCCCCCGGGGGGAGCGGCACGGCAGCGGACCGAGGGGGGAGGGTCCAGGGGAGGAGGAGGGAACAGGGGAGGGAGGGAAGAGGAGGAGGAGGGTGAGAGGGAGGGAGGGAGGGAGGGAGGGAGGGAGGGAGGGAGGAGGGAGGGAGCGAGGAGGGAGGGAGGAGGAGGGAGGAGGAGGAGGAGGAGGAGGAGGAGGAGGAGGCGCTGCTGCTGATGATGATGATGATGCTGATGAGGATGTTGATGATGATGATGCTGATGATGATGATGCTGATGATGATGATGATGCTGATTATGATGATACTGATGATGCTGCTGATGATGATGATGATGATGATGATGATGATGATGATGATGATGATGATGATGATGATGATGAATGATGATGCTGATGCTGATGCTGATGATGATCATGATGCTGATGCTGATGCTGCTGCTGCTGCTGCTGCTGCTGATGATGATGATGATGATGAGGAGGAGGAGGGAGGAGGAGGAGGAGGAGGATGTGGATGAGGATGAGGATGATGATGATGATGATGATGATGAGGAGGAGGAGGAGGAGGAGGAGGAGGAGGAGGAGGAGACGATGCTGGTACGCCGAGCTGATCTCGTTGCATCCGATCCTCGGCACTATGCTTGCGCCGTTCTGCAGGCTGCTCGGGGGGGTCCCGCGCCGCGGTTGCTGTGCGTGCCGCTGTCGGAGCCTTCCAGGGTCTTCGCGTGACGCCTGGTCTCGGCCAGGCCGCCCCCGGAAGGCGCGTGGCCTCAGACCCCTCAGAGCGGCGGCGGCGGTCGCTGCCGTTGCTGCCGACGACAGCTGCGAAGCTCGAACCCAGACCCCCAAGGGCCGCCTCCGTCCCCCCCCCCCCGGGGAGCTCTCGATACCTCGTCCGATCGCGGTCAGCACGTTCTCCAGGAGTGCGCCCCCACTGCGGTGCTCCTGCGCTCCCGGGGAGCTCCTGTTAGGCCCGATGCCGCCACGACGAGGCTATACGGCATCGGGGAGAGAGCGATATCTGGCTGTGCCTGGGGCGCGCCGCCCTCTGCAACCTGGCTCCGGCGGTCGCCAGGGCGCTTCGAGGCGACCTTGCGCTCGGTCTGGCGTGGCTCACGAGGGGAAAAAACACACAGACACAATTAATCGTCGATTCCCAAGAAAATATGGGAAAATATGGGAAGTGGGGGGGAAGACAAAAACCTGGAATATATGGGAACATATTGGGAATATCTTTATTTGTGTGTATTTATTTGTGTGTCCTGGGGCCCCTTCAGTGGCGGGGCGGTGAGAAAGCCTGCCCCACGGACGTCACCGCGTCGCACAGAGCTCAGGACGGGAGCTGTTTGGCCAGCTTCGGCCTCGGGGGGCCCTCGCCGGGCCCCGCGAGACTGCCCAAGACCGGCGCAGACGGAACAGCCGGCCCCAGGGAAGGGGTCGGGGCTTCCAGGGGCCCCGCCTTGAAAAACAGCAGGGCGTCGCAAGTTCGGGCCTGCGGGCGCGGCCCAGCTGCGCCTGGCGGCTGCGTGCGTCTGCCCCTCGCGGGCGCGGGCTCGCACGCGCCTCGGCTCGGCAGTTTTTGGGCCGAGGTTGCCCGCGTGCCGGGCGGCGGCGCGAGCTCGGGGAGAAGGCGCGGGTCGCGCCGGCCCGGTGGGGGACCCAGCCCCGCGCCTCCTCGAAGCCGGGGGGGGGGGGATCAGCAAGGCGGCTGGCGGCTCGGCTCGGCGATGGGCTGAGCTGCAAGAGTCGGGGGCGGCAAGGAGGGGGCTGATGACTATAGGGGGGGTGGATATCATGGCGTGGGCCATGATATTTCGCCAGATCTCATGGCGCCTCTTCTTATTTCACTGCATCCCCGCTCCCCCCCCCCCGGGGCCGCGCACATGCCGCCGGCCATGGTTCGCGCCCCCCCTCTTGGACGCGCCCCTCTTGGCCGCCCCCGAAAGAGGTGGCGTGCCGCCTCGCCACCACTTGCAGGCGCTTGCCGGCCTCTGCGGGGCTGGCCGCGGCGGCGGGTGTCTAGGCCTCCCAGATGTGGTCGGAGTGGATGGGGTCGGAGAACCGCTCGGCATCGTCGACTCGTCGGCGATGCAGCTCGATGCGGAGCTTGACGTTGTTCACGCCGACGGCGGCGATGCATCGGCGATGCATCGGCGATGTATCGGCGATGCGGCGCGATCCTCCGATCCTATCTATCCGTTGAGTAGGGCCGAGGGTCAGAGAGCGCATTCCTCTGCAGGACCATTGACCATTGTCAAAGGGATGTCAAGGTGGTTGAACGCCTCGCTTGGCAAGCCGACGGAGACGTCCGGCATCCGAGCGTTCGCTGTTGTCCAAAAAAAAAGTTCTGGCTGGCCTGACGCCAGGTGTGGTGCATCAGCTCCAGCCCGACCCAACAGCCTGGTTGCGCCCCTAGGCGTCTTTTGGGGTGCCCCGCAGACCTGGCCCTCCGGCCTTGCGCCCGTCTGTTCGGACCCACATCCAGGAGGCCTCCACGGGGCCTTCGCCGCGCTGCCCTCGCCTGGCACCTCTCGGCGGCGCGGCAGCGCGGGTCGGGCGGCGGGACGGCCGACCACGACGCCGAGCTTGTCGACGACGACGACGACGACGACGACGACGACGACGACGAGGACGAGGACGACGACGACGACGACCACGGCGACGACGACGAGGACGAGGACGACGACGAGGACGACGAGGACGACGACGACGACGACGACGACGACGACGACGACGACGACGACGAGGACGACCACGACGAGGACGAGGGCGACGACGACGACGAGGACGAGGACGAGGACGACGACGAGGCTCCAAGGACGACGACGACGAGGACGACGATGACGACGACGAGGACGAGGACGACGACGACGACGAGGACGAGGACGACGACGACGAGGACGGCGACGACGGTGAGGACGACGAGGACGACGACGACGACGACGACGACGACGACGAGGACGCCGACTCTGACGATCTCCCTGCCCTTCCTCCTGGTGGTGGTGGCTGTTGAGGTGCCCGTTGCCGCCGCGCTCGCGGGCTCGGGTCCGACGGCCCGCCGGCCCCTGCTCCGGCGAGGCGTGGCGTCGTGCCCGCCCCGCGCCAGGGGCGTGCCTGCCAAGGGTATATGGCCACGCGTCGCGCGGCTGCCGGCCGCCAGGGCAAAGGCACCCTGCTGCTGTCAGTTCGGGGGAGGAGGCGGGAGGAGGGGGGGGGGAGTTTTTGTTGCCGGAGCCGCCGCCAGCCCACCCGCGCATCGGCCGCGCGGAGCCGTCGCGCGCGGCCGCGCGGCGCGGTCGCGGCGCCCCGCCCACACGGGCGACGGGCGATACTGCCCGCAGCCGCCCCCACGAAGGGGGAGGCCAACGGGCAGGGCCACCCGCACGCCCAATGGACAGGGCGAAAAAAGGGCGCGGACCCCGGGACCCTCGAAACGACGACGACGACGACAACGACAACGATACGACAAGACGTGGAGAAGGACCGCCGGTCCCGCCCCAAGGCGGGGAGCGACCTCCCGCACCGCCCTGGGGGAGGCCACGGGACCTGGCTGCCCCCCGGGAAGGAAAGCCCTTGTGCGGGGGTTTTGACCCCGAAGGCCCGGTGCTCCCCGCCCGCGCCAGGGGACATTTTGGCCCGACGCCCCACTTATGGTGGTGCCCCTCCGGGGCAGGAAGGGGTGGGAGGAGAGGGGGGACGAGGAGGGGGAGGACAAGGGGGGAAGGCGGGGGTCGGAAGAGGGGACGCAGGAGGAGGCGCAGGAGGAGAGGGAGGAGGAGGGGGAGCAGTGCAGACCCGAGATCCATGAGCGATGCCGCAATAAACCCGCCCTCCAAGCTCCCGCGTCATTCCAACAAGGATGTAGTTCCGCTGAGGGGAGTGCCCCGTTGGAGGACAAGCGCTTGAAGCCCCTGAACCGCGCCAGGACAACATCCCTGGGACATCAACGCCGGGAATCGTACGAAACTGTTGCGCCCTGGCGGTCCCACATCGTGCCAACGCGCCGTGTCTGGGACGTCGACCATACAAATCATTGATTCTTGTAACCGCTTGCGACGATGTGCGCGGCGCTGAGACGAGCGCCACGGTTTGGAAAGGTACCGACCTTCATCCGCGAAACGAATGCGAACCTGTAAGGCGAATGCGCGTGGAGCTATGGCCAGAGCCACAGTTAAACTGGTACCGCCCTCCAGCCGTGACCGTCTTGCAGTTTTTAACGAATGAGCGCAGAGGTAAGGCGGGAGCCACATTTTGAAAACGACCGACCCTCCATTGCGAAACACGTGCAATTTGTTTAGACGAGCGCGCCTGGCCCGAAGGGGAGAACCACATTTTGAAATGGCCCACCCTACACCTGTGAGATTGTTTCACAACTTCAGCTCAAGATCCCACGTGGTGAGGAAGTATCAGGCGAAACGCCCCGCCCTCCCGAGCGGCACGTCTCAAGGTGCGACAGGGAGGAACCATCTAGACGGAAACGGGATGGATGAGGTGGGGCGAAGAAAAAGGGGAGGACGGGGAGGAGGAGCGGGAGGAAGAGCAGGGAGGGAGGAAAGGGAGCAGGGGGAGGGGGAGGGGGGGCGAATGTGGCCGTCGATCATTGACACCCCGCGACCAGCCGCGCGATGCGACCGCCGATCCGCCGACGACCGTATCGCGACCCACCCACATTGTGTTTACAAGCTGGCGCCTGCGACGGCGCAGGGCGGAGGATGAGGAGGATGAGGAGTAGAAGGGGGAGGAGGAGGGGGAGGAGGAGGAGGAGGAGGAGAAGGAGGAGGAAAAGGAGGAGGATGAGGAGGAGGAACAGGAGGATGAATACGAGGAGGATGACGAGGACGAGGACCAGGACGCGGACGTAGAGGAGGAGGAAGGATGATGAGGAGGAGGAAGGGGTGGAGGAGGAGGAGGAGGAGGAGGAAAGGAGGACGAGGGGGAGGAGGAGGAGGAGGAGGACGAGGAGAGGAGGAGGAGGAGGAGGATGAGGAGGAGGAGGAGGGAGGAGGGAGGAGGAGGAGGAGGAGGAGGAGGAAGGAAGAGGCGGAGAGAGGAGGAAGGAGGAGGGAGGAAGGAGGAGGGGAGAGGAGGAGGGGGGGAGGAGGAGGGGAGGAGGAGGAGGAGGAGAGGAGGAGGAGGAGGAGGAGGAGGAGGAGGAGGTGGAGGAGGAGGAGGAGGAGTGGGGCAGGATGATGGACGACGGACAGGACGCCCCAGAATCCCCCAGAACGCCCCCAGACCTCCCAGAACGCCCAGGACGCCCCAGAACGCCCCTCCTCCTCCCCCCTTTCTCTTCTCTCTTCTTCCCTGTCCTGCCCCCCCCCCGCTCGTCCTCCTTTCTCCCTCGTTCTCCCCATCTCCTCCCCGTCACCACACATCCCGCCTTTTCTTTCGCCGTTCTCCTCCTCCTCCTTTTCCTCCTCCTCCTCCTCCTCCTCCTTCTCCTCCTCCTCTTCCTCTCGCCCACTCGCTCCTCCCCTCAGTCCTTCTTCTCTCCTCTTCGTGGTCTCTTCATGAGCCCCCCCCCCCCCTGCACGTGGCGCTGCCTCGCCCATGCCTGCCCTGGACGGCACTTCGTGTGGGTCTCGGCCTCCTACGTGCTGATGGCCGTCTATTTCCAGATGATGCTGCTCTTGGTATGGCCCAGCGAGGACTGCGAGGGCCACGCGCGGCGGCGGCGAGGCGGAGCATGGGGAGGAGGCGGAGGATGCTACCGAAACGCTGCACTGGACACATCAGGCCCGGTCACTCCAATATAGTGGTGCCCTATACTGATTGCCTGCACAGATGAAAGCAGGCAACCTAATACCCCACGTGACCCAACCTAGAGCACCCACCAACAGTGCGCGTGCCAGAACCCGACCCACCAATCAACCGTTGGGCTTGATTCGACAGCGCCTCAGCAGTACATCCCACACAGACGACATGCCCAATACCACGACTTGTGCTGTTCAGCCCTTTGGAAATTCATTGCGAGCAACGTCCCAAACCTTGACATAGCCCTACACAACAGCGCAGTACATGATTACTGCACCCACCGCTCCCCAGGAACCTCCACCTCATCGTTCACTGGCACAGGCGCATCGACAGATTTAACAGCGAGCGTTTCACCAGCGAGCAACCACCCTGTACACTCCCACTCCCACCCTTGAGACCGAACTTAGCCAGACCCCGCACAAACAAATGATTGCACATAAAAACGCGGGTGCTTACCTAAACTATGTGGTGTTGATGTAATTTTGTTTTGCACTCTCTCGACGACTACACCGACCTGAGCCTTCCAGTGCAGCTGCCCGTCGACGACGCAAGACCAGCCAGGCCGACCAGCCGGACCAAACCAAGTACCATGCCGCCATCTCTATGAGCATACAAACGCTACAGCAGCAACACGAGCACAATCCCGACTTCAGACTGAACGTCGAAATGACTGACCAGCACATCGACAACGTGACCAACGACTCTACGGCAACAACCCTTACGAGCACCACCGCCCACCCATACGTCAACATCTCGCAATGGCGGTTCACCATCCTAGGGCCGAGCTGGCCTGAAGTCCTACCCATGACAACCGCATTACCCATCAGAACGACGGGCTAGCACCACAACGACCTGATCAGCAATCACAGCACCACCACCAGCCTCATCAGCAGCGACAGCGAACAGCCTAAGAAAGAGCAACCTGAGGAATAGACCACCACCGCCAGCAACCAGACTACCACTTCGAAGTGCAGACCGAGTTTAATCAGCAGCCGACATCACAGACACAACAATCACCACTTCTGCCACCTGAGCCACTACACATCCCTGTAGTTCCCCCGCCACCCAACACATCCATAGAGAGAGAGAGAGAGAGCAAACAAACAAACAGAAAGAGACGCCGCGCGGCGCCTCTGGCGGTGCTCCCCCCTGGTCCGCCCTGCCAGAGGGACCCGTGCCAAGCCTCCCCCGATTTCGGGCAACATTCGCATGGCTAGCGGAGACAGTACGTGCTCCGCACCATTCAAATAGAACGCGATAGAGACGAGCAGACAGGATCCACGCCGCTGCACCAACCAAACACCAGTACATCCATCACCCCAGTTTCGTCAACGCACCCAGCGCAACTCCAGCAGTCAGCCCACCGACACACACAAGCACACACGCCAGCGACTTCAACCAACCAGCGACAGCAGCAGCCAGCAGTTACGACCGACGCCACCCCTCTCCAGCAGCATGACCGTGTACGCCCTACGAAGACACGACGACACTTCGACAGTGGGAGGGTATTTCCAGGCTGCGCTTGGGAACGTCCCATAGGAAGCACTCCAACGTACAAGTGGGGGACGGTTTCCCCATCGACATGGTACGTGCCAGGACTCGCTTGGGCACGGACACTACAGTGACGCAGCATACGTAAATTTCTTCACGACCTGATTGCATCACACGCGCTCTTATCAACCGTTGTGTATCTTTCCTGCTATCAGTCTACCCTGCTGATTCGAATCGTATACACAGACCCATAACATTCTTTACATCACGTCTAGGGCTTCAGTGTCCTCAAAGGCTGCAGGCCATACTAGAGGATAGCATCACATCGCCGTTACTTCTTCTATTACCTACGACATATGGCATACGTACCTCAAACATGTGTTGCATATCCAACTTGAGCTTGGGTGTGTTTCTGGAGTGGCTGGCCATGAACACGCCGTACTTCTTGGCGCGCCCCCGTCAATGTCGTTACGCTACGGTACGTTAGGATCCGATCGAACTTGCCCCCATGCGGGGCACGGACAGAAGCTGGAACAATGTGCGTTCAGGCCAAGACATAATGGAAGAGAAGGAGAAGGAGGAAGCAAAACGAACAGAGCCCCAGGCTCCTGCCTCAGACGTCGTCCCACCTCGTGGCGGGTCTCCCTCTTCTCCGAAAGGGGTTCGCCTGGTTCAGGTCACTGCAGACCGTTGGCAGCCGCTCGGGAGCATGACGTGCGATTGCCGGCCAAAAAGGTTTTGGCCCGATCAGTTGAACCTTCCTGTCGCGTATCTCGTGGCTGCAATCGTGCATAGAGTAGCTGTTCAAAGCGGCGTTAAGCCGGAGTTTCATCCTGCGGCCGCGGTCTTCCTAGGTGTCGTCCGAGTGCGAGATCCACCCCACCATGCGGCGCAGCATGCGTCGGTGCACGACGTCCAAGCGACAGCCCAGAGACTCCGTCGGCGGGCAGGATTCGAGGGAGTAACACAGTTGATGAAACAATTTCTTCAAACAGCTTGAAACGAAGAGCAATGCTGATATAGTTACTCGTCAACACGTGCTGAAAGGCATTGAACTTCATCCAAGCGCAGCAGATTCGGTGCGCTGCGTGGCCACGCTTCCCAAGTCACCTGTGAAGCATCTGCCGAGGTACTTGTGCTTGGAACCCGCGTACAGAATGTCTATGGTGCCGCACTCTGTGATCACCTGCGTATCCTGCTCAATGGGCTCCGTCGTCATGACTGTTGTCTTCTTTGCGTTCAGCTCCAGGCCAAAGCGGCCCAGCGCACTTGCCAGTAATTCGAGCACGGACACAGCCTCGTCCAATGACTTCGCGAGTAAGAAAATTCCATCCGCATGGCGAAGATTCGTCATCCGAGCGTCACACGGATCTGGTGTCAAAGACAACCTTTCTGTGACTAGCCCGGATTTCCAGCTCTCGATTGCAACCTCCAGCGCCGCGTTGAACAGGACGGGGCCTCACACGTCACCCTGTCGGACACCTCGCTTGATCTGAAATCGTCGGTCTCCGATGTGCCCAAACTGCCCATCATACAACCTTTGGAGCAGATGTACATATTCGCCCAGACCCTGTCGTTCCAGTGAGCAGAACCACGCCTCATGCTCCATACTGTCGAAGGCTTCGAGTCGAATCAGTGCTCACCCCCTGGACGGGAGCATTCCACTCGATCCCCTTGGAGATCATAGTCTCGAGCACGGTAAGAGCACATAGAGGGGAGTGCGCAGACCGGAAACCAAATTGGTCTTCTGATTGATTTGGTCGTTTACGGCCCTCGCGAAGATTTTTTATGTGATGTTCAGAATCGCGACGGGCCTCCAATTGTTTGGGTCCTCCGCGTCTCCTCCCTTATGCACGAGCGAGAAACGAGTCGCAACCCAATTGTCCAGAGTGGCATTTCCGTCCAAGATACCATTGAGCATGCCCGTTCATCGCCGAGTCACGGCCTCACCGCCACGCACAAGCATCTCCAGAACGACACCGTCCTGGTCGGAGCACCTTTTCTAGTCCATTTTCGATATGGCTTTGCAAACATCTGCGACTGTGAAGTGAGGCACCCGCCATTCCGTGGCCTATTGCGGGGACGTCTCCGTGGAGTCTACTTGCGTCAAATGCTCTGCGCATTTTACCATATCTGGGCGCGCGGCGCACGTGCGCTTGATGGGATACATGTGAGTTCTTGCCAGAGCATCGAAACCCGAGAATTCTTGAACACGCTCCCTGGCTTGCTGGGTTCTCCACACGCCCTCAGCTGAGCACGAGTGCGCCTGAAAATTGCCCGAGGCAAGCGTCGCCTCTCATCTGGACTTGTTGCGCGTTTTCTTCGCCATTTGAGCTCCTTGAGGTGTTGCGTATCCGGCGGTCGCACGGCAGAGCTTTTGGAGACGTGCAGAGAGACGCCTGCGCACTCAACAAGCTTGGACACCAGGCTGGGCAAGTTGTCGGCGCCACTGGCGCCGCAGCTACAAACAGCTTGCGGAAACCGCATCCGATCCACATTTTGCAAGTTTCTGCGGCGTCTCTTCGTCCATGTTCTCGTGGGTGGCGGGATGGAGACACGGGATGGAGGCCTCAACAGAGCTTGATCTGGACAATTGCAGTGACCCAAATCAGATGGACCCGGAAGACCCTTGGATTTTCATACCTAGGCCAAAAACGAACGATCCGCAATTGTTTGGTGTCATCCGGCCTCTCGGTCACGCGTGTCTCGGCGGTTTCAGTCTTAGATCCGGGATCCGACCTTCAATGTCGATCATCATCGGACTTTCGACTTGGCCCTGCCGAATGATCAAATGCTCCTTCGCCACGACGTTTCCGGGCGTGCCGACATTGAAGAGGCGCCCCGACATTGAAGGGGCGTGGCGGACATGTTTGAGGTTAGTGTTGTCGAGGGTCGTAGGTGCGATGGTAATCACTTCCATCACCGCTGTTGGTTCCCGAGCAGACTGTACGAAGCCCGCCTCGCTTCCACATTACACCGCAGCTCTTTCTGAGTACGGCTCGCCCCACGGTGTTAGCCCCACTCGAGACGCACGGCGATGCTCCCTTTCAGGTAGAGCGTACCACACAACCATGTTCTGTTCCATCTTTATCATTCCGTATGTCGCACGTGCAGATCCTAGTCACCATGTTCATCCCCAATGCGTGACCTAAGTGGACCGTCGAGCCAAGGGTCAATGAGACCGCTCTGCTCAGTGTCATCGTACAACATGTTTCACCGACCAGAACTCTTTACATCCCCCCCTGCCACGTGACATCTCCCAGCCTCCATGGTCTGCACTCTCCATCGTCCGAGCTTCCGGAAGCCGGTGAACGTGCCCTACGTGCCACGTGTTCGGCGCAAGCTTGGCAGCATGAGTTGCGGTCAACTGCAAAACGAATGCCAGCCTCCACACGGGGGGGCCACAACGTCAGCCAGCGTGGGCCATCGACAGTGATGTATCAAATGGCCTTCGGCCCATCCCGTCACGGTGCCTGGGTTGTGCGTGCGAAGCTTGTTGTTGGATGTTCGTTTGGATCTCGCGGCAGGCTTCTCGGGGGCCTCTCGGAAGCAGTTTGGACGCCTCTCGGGAGCCTTTTGGGGGCCTCTTGGGGCCTCTTTTTGGGGTCTCTTGGGGGCCTAGCCACCGGAGCATTCGGTGGAGCTCCCTATGGGGCCACGAACCGTGCGAGGGGTGTGCGGAAATGGGTGGCGTGGACGCATGCGAACACCGCCACTGGGGCCTTCTGTGGAGTTCCCTACGGGGCCACGAAACGTGTGAGGGGTGTGCCGAATGGGTGGCGGGGACCCATGCGAACACCGCCATTGGAGCCTTCGGTGGAGCTCCCTATGAGGTCACGAAACGTGTGAGGGGTGTGCTTAATCGGGTGATGACGATGATAGTGGAGGATGGAGGAGGGGAGGATAACGGAAGGAACGCGGGGACCGTCTCTTCAAAACGAGGACCCAACACCACAGGATGGCTGCGAAGAACACGAAACACACTATTGCATTCGAAGAGCAGGTTCGCTCATTTCAAAACGTTCATTTACATGTAATGTAAGAACCAGTTTTCTGAATTCAAGAAACCGTTCTTTACATAAAGAAACAGCATTTTTTTGAATTCAACGATTCTATTCGAATTCACAAGACCGTTTCGTGAATCCCAAAACTATGTTTTCTTGTGAGTTCAAAAGCCGTGCTGTGAATTCATAGAAGAATATTTCGAAACATTCAAAAACCTGTCCCCCCCCCGTCGTCTTGATTTTTGCACAACGTCGACCCTTAGGGGTCTCGACCCATTCTCCTGGACCGGTTTTTCATCCCGAGTCGTTTTCTGACGGTCCCGAGTGCCGGTGAGGGCGTCCATGGCGAACCTTGTCCTGTGCAAGATCTTCGGCACCGCCTGTTTTCTGAGCCCTCCGGCCGCCTGAGGCCCCGCCCGCCCGCGCCCCGTCTCCCCAACTGGGGCTACCCGCGTCCCGTTTAGCTCTTGACCGGAAGGGGCCCGCCCCCGACCCGCAGACCAAAACGTGCCGGTGAGGGCCCTTCCCGGGGGCCAAAAGTACGGGAAGTCCTCCCGTCGTGATTTCTGTCCCTGCCCGAGGGGGCCTGGGAACGCCAGGGGCGGGGTCGCCGCCGCTCGACGCGGTACGAGCCTCGCGGGGACCCGCACGGCCCGGGCGCCTCGGGGGTGCCCAGCGCCAGGCCGAGGTCGGGCATGTCCCCCAAACCAAATGCCCCAAACAATGCTCCAACAGAAAAAAAGAAACAGCCCAAACAATTTTCCAAACAACGGGAGCTTAGGACGAAAAATAAAACATGCTCCAACAATGCTCCAACAGAGCCTACAAATATGGTCAAGAAATCGTCCCCAGACGATGTCTTGCCTATTTTTGAGTTTTCCCAGACATGCGACGTCTTGATTTTTTCAGGACGGCGTCCCTGGAAGCCCCGACCCTTCCTCCGGAGCCGGTTTTTCGCCCTGAATCGTTCTTTGACGGCCCCGAGGCCAGGCGAGGGCCCCCCGGGGCCGAAAATGGTAGAAAACCTCCGGTCCTGGTTTTTTCACGACGCGATCATGTCTGGGGAGGGACAGGCCCAACATAAACGCCAAGGCGCTGGGGTGGGCGCGGGCAAGGAAAACACCACGACGGGAGGTTTTTCTGTATTTTCTGCCTCTGGAGGCCCTCACTGGTTCTCGGGACCGGCAGAAAACAAGTCAGGATGAACAACCGGTCGAGAAGAATGGGTCGAGACTTCTGAGGGTCGACGCTCCGAAAAAAATTGAGCAGGCGGTTTTGGAGTGTTTTCAGCCTCTGGGGGCCCTCGCCAGGCTCCGGGAGCGTGAAAAAACGACTCGTTGCGAAAAACCGGCCCTGGGGAAGTGGTCGGGACATCTGGGGCTCACGTCACGCAGCGAAAAAATTGGAGCAGCCAGATGTCCGGGCTGAACGCCGGCGGCGGCCCCGAAGCGGCCGATGTGGAGCGATCCGACGCCGCGGGAGCGGCCGACCACGCAGCTGCTGAAGGATCCCCACGGTGGGTCGTCGGGAGCCGCCGCCGAGGCCCGCCACGGCACGAGCCTGCCGCCACTGCCAGCCGAAGCCCCGACGACAGGCCCATCCCGATATGCAGGTGCTGCTTGGGCAGGTGCCCTGATGTTTTGTTGCGTTTCGCGCCCGCTGCCGCCCGCACGGCGCCTGTTCCGCTCTTTCTTCCGAATTGCCCGGAGCAGCTTGCGTACTCCTCTTCGGATCCTCATCACCACTTCCGTCACGCCTGCCCCGAACAGGTGGGCCCACACTCCTCCACGGCCTCGCTGGCTCTAGCCGAGCCGTTGTTGTTTCTCTTGCGCCTTTTCTCATTCCTGAGGCGCTGACCTAGGTCGCATGATGTGGCCACAACGCCTAAGTCGGTCACCTAGTTGTCCTACAGTGACGCCATGGCTCCCACCAGCTTGCGCTTGTCCAACGCAACATGGCTTGGGATGGCGCTTGGCTTGAAAATCCCTACAAGCGGTTGCACCTTTTACTCTCTCTCCCTCTCTCCCTCACACCGGTCTGTTACATCTTCGATCGCGTGCTCGCCAACACCTCAGCGCGGCTTTCCGCGCGGGGTGTTGGTCAAGGCTGCATCGGACGAATTGCCCATGCGTTTAGTTGAGTATAACCAGCGGGCTAGCTGAATCAGCGCGCACAATAACCAGGCCAGCTAACCCCCGCTACAGTAAGCAGGCTAGCTAACCACCCCAACGAGATGCGCAGCGCCAGCGAGGGCAGACGTCTGCAGGACCCAAAGGACAACACCTTTATGCTCCCAGGCTGGCAGCACAAAGGATCTCAGGCCGCGGCCCATTCCGTGATCCCTCGTTGGGGCAAAAGGGACGGGAGGAGGAGATTTGGAAGGAGGAGGAGGAGGAGGAGGAGGAGGAGGGGGGAGGAGGAGAGGAGGAGGAGGGAGGAGGAGGAGCAGTAGGAGGAGCAGAGGAGAGAGGAGGAGAGGGGGAGGGGGGGGAGGGGGGGGACGGATGGAGAGGGGGGATCACATGAGGGAGGGTCACAAGTTGGGCCACAGAGTAGGGAAGCGCAGGGAGGTGAGGCTTCTGGCGGTCTCTGGCGGCCTTCGGAGGTGTCCAGATGGTCCCCGAGTCCTTCGCGAGGCCTTCGGAGGGCTCCGCTGGA